GAGGTATTGCTTCATGACTAGTATGCTGGCTTCTAGGTTTTAAGTTTTATTTATACCTCATAACATGTAGAATTTTCCTCTTAGTTGAAATGTGGAGTAGGGGATAGTTTTACCTCTTCTTACTTTTAAAATGTAAAAAAAAAATAAAAATTCCACTACTTATTTTTGGAGATTTAATGTTCTGTCATCAGCTATGTCTGTAAGTCAATCATCTCATTCTGCTCTAATTACCAATGACTTTATGAAGTGCGATTTAAGTGCTTTTAACACATTGACTTGGAAAAATTAGTGGGAAGCTATTTCTACTTTGAATTTTTCGGTTAAAGCTTATGTTTGATAAAACTTGCAGCTTCTTCTGTGGGATTTGGGGAGAGGATATTCCCATTTTTTATGTGATCCGTTCTATGTTTTATTCCTTGTAGGTTGCCCCAACAAAATACAGAGGTTCATTGGGCACTTTGTCCCAAATTGGCACTTGCCTTGGAATTATACTGTCACTATTTCTTGGAGTACCGGCAGAACATGATCTGCATTGGTGAGAACTTTTTTTCCTCCTGCCTTTTTTCAGAGCAATGGCAGTTGTTGGTGAGGGAATTATAATTTTCCTTTTCCTTTCTAACTGAATCTGGCTGAAGCAGCGGTTAACTTGATCTTTCACATATATCCCTCATAATATAAATCTGAATAGAATTTCCATACAGTTTTTTTTTTGCAGTCTAAAGATCATAATGTCAAGGTAATTTACATATGAGCTTATAGGTTTAAGATCATAAAGAAATAAAACCGAGTATTAAAGCAGAAAGAAATCTGATTGTGTAAAGAAACTGAACCAATGCAAACCAAATTTTGTGGTTACCTTCTTTGCGTTCCCTGAACCAAATTTGCTGCTCTAGAAACTAAAACTTATTAATTCGCTGGTAGAACTGTGAAGAATTTGACTGTTAGTCTCTCTGACACCCTTCAAACAAGTGTCAATTACTGACTTCTGTGTCTTCCTTCCTCTTGTCCTTGTGTACACTTCATTGTGAAGAAACTCAACGATGAATATGCTCAATGTAAAACTGGTTATCTATGATTTATGCAAATAATTTCTTCATCTATTATCATTCTTACCTTCATTTTCATTGGCAAGTTTTGTTTGATGCAGTATCTTGTCTTGGAAGTTCTGTTTACAAACAACTGTATCTTTGGTTTCAAGGGAACTCCTAGGCATCAGAAGTGTATGTTTATATGCTAGTTTAATGCCTATGGCTATCATCTAGGTTTGCTTACTCTATTGTCACCCTACCTATTGGCAATTACCTTTTTGGGCATATCTTGTTTCAGTACATTCTGTGTTTTAAAAAAAACTAAATATTTGGTTTCATAGGAACTTATAAGCATCATAAGTGCATGCATGTATTTATTTTTATGTGCTAGTTTGATGCCTATCATCTAGGTGCATTTCGTAGCTATTTCTTTGAGCTATGAATGGCAGAACTTTTTTTTCTCCAATTGTAGGTTTTTCTTTCTTCAACCTGCTAAGGAATTTAGGAAAGTATGTTTTCCAGGTGGAGGACAATGTTCTATATAGCAAGTATCCCTGGCTTACTTCTTGCTCTTGGTATGCAATTTGCTGTTGAGAGCCCCCGCTGGTTATGCAGAGTATAACCCTTGTATCATTTGTTGATACCAAACTTCATATGTTTTACTTCTTGGCATGTTCTCTTGAAGCATAGAATTTTGGCATCTCTGTAGGTAGGAAACATAAAAGCTGCAGAGGCAATTATACTTAATCTTTGGGGAAGATCAGAAGTTGACAAAGCGATTGAGGAATTCCAGTCAGTCATCAAGAATGATGGTAGTGATGCAGAGAGTAGATGGTTGGAACTTCTGGAAGAGCCGCATTCTCGAGGTTGTATCAAGGTGGTTTCTTTTTTGGATGTCATGTCATGATTCTGGTGTTTTTATGTTGAACTTGGTATATTTTATAATTATCTTCTTTTACGTGATTTCTGCTCAAAGGATGTAGCATTCGTTCTATATAATCTCACCTGATAAAAAATAAATAATTTTTATGGTATTCTTAAGGTGTTCCACATTTGCAGTCTAAAGAATTTTCTTGATACTATTTAATTTAGGTTTGGTATTGGTTTCAAAGTGTTGTTTAGTTTTGATACTCCTTTGGTTGCAGTTGCATTCATTGGAGGAGCCCTTTTTGTTCTTCAACAGTTTGCTGGAATAAATGGAGTTCTTTATTTTTCATCATTGACTTTTCAAGATGTTGGAATTGCTAGTGGTGCTTTGGCGAGTTTATTTGTTGGACTTACAAATTTTGCAGGTTTTAGATCTGACTTATGTATTTTATTCTTCTTTGTTGATCTCTGCTTTCAATTCTTCTTTTATTAAAACAGCCTCTCACAATTGTCTACTTGTGGATGTCTTCAGGTGCACTCTGCGCATCTTACTTTATGGATACGCAAGGAAGGAAAAAGCTTCTTATTGGAAGTTACCTGGGAATGGTGAGAGAGTAAATCCTTATTCTGAAACTAAGTTATGTTGGTAATGGTATCAATATGGCAGCACTTCTTTGAAGGGAAATTGAGAGAAGCACGTAGTTTGAACCTGTAATTGCTCATTTAGAAAAAATGCACTTGGCAGGGAGGTCAAATAGTGGTAAATTGCTAACATTTCCACAGTTTGAAAGTTAAGAAATATAGTTATTTAAGCTGATATAATCATACATTCTCCCTTCTTTGGCAAGTTTGTCAACTTTTCAGTCTGGAAGTCTGGATACATGGTGAAAAAACTATAATTTGATTCACATGACATGTGTGTGAGTTTATGAACGTGTGCCTGCACCTGCTTATATTGTATGTAATTCAGTCCAATAAACATTCTTTTGATTGACTCAATGCTAATGATTTTAAGCAATAAACTCTACTTTTGCAGGCAGTTTCAATGTTTCTTATTGTTTTGGCTATCAATTTCCCATTAGACGAAGATTTCAGTCACAACTTATCAATCCTAGGGACTCTCATGTAAGAATCTCCTCTTAATACTCAATTTAAAAACCAATGCTGACCCTTATGGTTTGAACACCCTTTGATTGCCCTTTATTATGCTATGCCTTGACGTCTTGTTTGTTAAGTGGGACCATAAATGGTCTGAGCTGCTTATTGATACTTGCATCAATTATTTCTGATATAGTAGTGGATTAGGCAGGCAAATTATGCACACAAAGCTTGACAACTATCTAATAGCTCTACTAGGCTGTTGAAAGCTAAAGAGCTTTACTAGAATTTATTTTTTTTTTGCTTTCTTTGCAAATTTTGGGTGAAAAAGCTTCAAAAAAGCTTATTACTTGATCTATAAGTACTTTCCCAATTGTTAAAATATTAATGCCCTGAATTATGGTTTTACTGTTTACACATTGGGAAGAGCTAATCGAAGGGTTACCATTCTGTTAGCAAAAAATCCAGAATAACATTCCATTGATGCCCTTTCTTTCAAAATGCTTTCTTATAGGTACATATTCACCTTTGCAATTGGAGCGGGCCCTGTAACTGGTCTCATAATTCCAGAACTTAGTAGCAATAAGACACGTGGAAAGATTATGAGTTTTAGTTTCTCTGTTCATTGGGTATGGTATTTACAGTTGTTTTCAGTTTGCTTTAGATTGGCTATTTTTTCAAGTAATACAGAAACTTGTTTAAATAAATGATATTATTAACTATAGTAGGACTTGAAAATCAGTAGGGATTGGAAAAGAAGAGGTATTGCTTATAACCACTACAGAGAGATAGTTCCAGCTTCGAATGATGTGATGTTAGTTAATATATGCTTTATATATTGTAAAAATGTTTATGGCTTCATTACCTTGTTACCATATAGTTTTTTGTTTCACAGGAAACTTTTCTTACCCTGTTGCATTTTCTTGTTGATTTAGGTTTGTAATTTCTTGGTGGGGCTACTATTCCTTGACTTGGTGGAGATATTTGGAGTTGCTCCAGTATATGCTGGTTTTGGCGGTGTGTCCTTGCTCTCAGCAATTTTTGCATATTACTTTCTGGTTGAAACGAAAGGCCGATCCCTTGAAGAAATTGAAATGTCACTGAGCTCTAACGTCACAGCTAAAAGGTAAATGACTACTTCTGAATTCTGATTCCATGTGTCGGAAAACGATGCACTGTAAAGTGCAGCGTGGAGTTTGATTCTCTACCACTTTGCTGGAGCAATCATGCTAGCTCTACTTTGAAGGGAAATCATCAACACTGCTGTCTGGTGAAACCAAAAATCAAATTCCTTTGCTGATAATGTTGACCACATGTATCTCATTTGTTCCATCGATTAGTAGATACCTCTTTCCATAATAATGCTTTCCTGGGATTTATGCAATTAGCGAGTTTTGGTGTTGTTTGAAACATCCAGGCTTGTGGATGTTATTTTGCCATGAGGACTATTTGTTCAAAGCCAAATTGTATTCAAAAGTAAGGTTTGGATTCAATGTTACTTAGGTCCAATATTTTTGGGGTTTCTGGAGTGAATTTTGTTGGCAAAGGTTATTCTTTTGGCAAACCTATAGGGGTTTTGTTTTGTTTTTTTTTTTTTGTCGGTAAGAGGTGAGCCTCAAGCCAATATATATGGTTGGAAGCGATTTTATATCCAATTAAATAAAATGTGGATAGTATATATCTAAACAATAATTTTGTATTATCATTGACTTGTTAGTTTAATGATTTTAAAGTCAATTTCTAAATTACAGGTATTAAGTTCAAATAATAATAAATAATTTTTATTAATTTTTCAAGTTACAAAAAAAAATATTTAACATTATTAACTCTGATAACATGTATATTGATTAAATTTTCGAAGATTGTAAGTTACATGTAATGCTTTCTTTTAAGTAATTTAAGTATCCTCAAAGATTGTAAGTTAAAAAAAATTTAAACACTTAATATTTAATTCAAATGAATTAATTATAAAGAGAATTTAGAGTTTCGACGCAGAATAATTTACTCAAAGTAGAAAAAGAAACACTAATTGAAAAACATTTTTTTTCTTAACCGCCGTCCTTATGATTAAAAGAAAATTGGCTGAGATGATTAACAATTTGGCGCGGCCATGTCCAGAAATGAGGAGTTTTCTATTTCCTATCGAAAGAATCATAGTAATTGGCATATTCCATGTCGCAAGATGCGTAGCCCAATCCCAACCGTCCACTCTACAGTCCCGTCAATGTCTATTACAATCAAAAATCAACGGCTGCCGTGAACAGAACCATTCAAGAATAAAACTTTAAGGGTCCCACTCTCACAGAATTTTTCTGCCAGGTGTAGACACCAACTTGACCGTTGACGCGTCACTACCACCAACGAACTACTTAAAAACGTTAGCCAATTTTTTTTCCCTATGCAAAGAAACCGCAGCTTCATTCATGGTCGCTGGAATTGAACTTTTCAGATTCACCTTTATTTGATGCGCCAGACAACATTCCACTGTTCGTAGGCGTTAGGAACTTTTTTTTCTTTTTGATGTTTGATGATGGCGGCTTCAGCGAATACCAACGGTGGAGATCATACGGTAGAACTGATTGTGCTTGGCGCCTCCGAATCGGCGGCTGATGGTGGCTCATCAGCATCGGCTTCGGAGGAGATAAAACCTCTCTTGACGCCGAGCATGAGGCCCAAGATCAACATCTTCTCGGTCTCTCATTCCCGAAGAAAACCTAGGGTAAGTAAAGTAAACCCCCTTAATTCTATTTTTACATTTTTTTCTATTACTTTAAAATTATCTATTTCTGACTGCCTGAATATTTAGTTTGTACTATGATTTAATTTTACTTGTTAATTGCAAACCGTTTGGATTGTTAATTATTCTCTTTGCTATTTCATTTTCTTAGAAAGAAATGGAGAATGTTACATGCAATGCAGTGGCTTAGCTCAATTTAGATTCATAATTGGTAAAATTTGAACAATTTGATATAGATATAAATCATAGTGATGCTAAACTTAAACAACAAAGCTCGTACAAATTGAGGTTATGCTGGTTGATTGAAATTATTGGTTAACCATATTGCTTATGCTAAAAATAGTATTAATATTTGCTTACCAAGAATGTAGGAGGTAATGCTGAATTCTTTTAGTTTATGGACTCAATTTAGGTTACTTGGTTTAATGTGTTTGCAGGAGATAGTGATAAAAGTGCCAGAAACGGAGATATCTCCAGTTTCACAGTTTATTTTGTGGGTATGGAGTGGATCCAGGTACTCTGGTCTAGTATGCATGGCCTTGTCATCTATAATCTACTTTGTCATGGAAGTTCTTTCTGGTAATTTCACTGGTTAGTAATTTCTGCTCCACTTGCTCTCCACGTAAATTAGTCTATTTTCTCTTGTAACTTATGTTTTGCCGCTCCCTTTGAATATTTATAATGAATAGAACTCCAAATGCAAGTTAATCAAAATAGAACTGTATGGGATATAATAATAGCTATAGCGTGAGTGGATATGGTTTTAATCTTAAAAAATTGGGAATCAGGAGAGGGACAACTTGAATATAATGTTTACAATAAATACAAAGTTGATTGATGTGGGATACCATGATTTAATACTCTCCTGTTCTTTAGGACTCCATAAAACAATTAAGACATGGACTATCATGTGGACTATGAAATGTATGCAATAAACAACCCATGTTTTGGTACCTTGCCAAGCTTTTGCATTTCCAACCTAATACCAATCGGCTATAGGTGGACAGATTTCATCCTAAATCTAAGACCACAATGAACTCTAGACTCTTTAAGTGTTAGGTGACAATGCTACTTGTTAAAGTGGATTGTCCCACATCCAATAAATAACCAATATCCTGTAGTCTTATATTGAAGTTGGCCTTTCCACTTACAGCCAATTGGTTTTAAGTTGGATGCTTAACACTACTTGGCACTCTCCCTCATGCGTAGGGCCTATGAAAATAATTGAGACAAATGAGGCTGTCGTTTGGACTGTGAAAATTGGCCAACGAATACCATCGAAAATGGGAGCAATAACTTGTGTTTGAAACCATATTAAGCTTTCAATCTACAACTAATTGGTAGCAGTAGGTGGAGAGGTGCAACTTGAGTATGAGGTTGCGACAAATTCCAATCTTGACTAATGTGGTACTGTACTACTTAACATTAGAATCAGAATCTCTTTACATTAAGTCATTAACCATTTTAGAGTATGTAATCTGTGGTCATCACAAACATATGGAGGATTGCTTAGTCTTTATGTGCATAGAAAAATAGAAGTTCTTTTCTCACTTTCTATTTAATGAGTTGTAACAGCTACAAAATTTTTGGGAAGTAGAGGTTTCACTGTATAGTATTGTTATTGACATATGCAATATTGATGCTATATGGTGCTGCGCCTCTTGTATTTTAAGAGTTTATACCTTCCCTTTCTTTGTAGCTTCTGACATCTCTTTTTCAATGATTTCAAATTATTTTTGGCATGAGATGTATTTCATAAAGTCTCCATTGATTTAATTATCTTTTCTATTGTTTTATGATGGCAGCTCAGTCAATTCCTTTGTTTGAGACTGCATTTACAAGATGTACAATTACCTTGATATTATCATATTTATGGTTGAGAAGAAGTGGGCAGCCAATGTTTGGAGCAACAAATCCCAGGAATCTTTTAGTTTTAAGAGCCCTAGTGGGATATCTCTCATTATTGAGTTTTATCTATTGGTAAGTTTTACTTCACATTCTTGCTTTTCTGCCTCTTTTAGAATTTGTTTATATTGGGGACCCTTAACCCTCCTCTTCTTCTGAAACAGAGAAAGAATAACCAAGAAAGGAAAAGGAAAAAGTTTTCATCATATTGGGTTACTCCCTCTTTATCTATTTGTAACCTTCGTACAGCATTTTCACCTTGTTAAAGTTATAAAGCTTCTTTTGCAGTTTTGCTAGATTATATGGACGCTAATGTTTCTCCAGTGATCCATTAGGCAATCTAGATTTTTTTCTTTTTCTTTTTCTTTTTTTTGGGGGGCCGGGGGAGGGGTGTCGGAGGGTGCTGCAATTACATCATGTTTCTGCCCGCTTATATCAGTTGTTGGGAGTCCCATCTTTGCAACTTATAAGGAAGACTTCATCACTGTTATGCTTGCAATGCCATAGTTTTTATATAAACTATCTGAAGTATAGGACATTAGATCATTAGGTTTGCTTAGGACATAGATTGTTACCATGGTAAACATGAATTTATCTGTTTGTCAGCATACCCTACCGTTGGTAATGGTTTTGTTTAAACATTTTAAATAGTTTCCCTTTACTGCATTCTCAGTTTCCGAAGTAGGTTTTGCTTCTTTTTATTTTTCTAGTCATTGTAAGCCTGCCTGCTGCTCTTGGAGTGCTCTTGCTATGGCTTGTAGGCTTTATCCTTGTGATCAGAACTAAGATAATCCAGTAGTAATAACCAGTTTATTTAATTTTGTTTTCAGCATTCAAAGAATACCTTTCTCTCATGCTATTATGTTAAGCTTTACAACTCCAATAGTGGCTTCAATCATGGCCAGAATTATTTTGCATGAAAAGTTGAAAATTGCAGAAATCGGAGGTCTGTTAACATTTTCTCACCTTCTATCTGACTTATGCTATAAAATTTGAGCTGCCATACAGTGGTTGGTTATGATTACTTTATTGATTATCATCCCTTTCCAGGTCTTGCTTGCAGTTTCTTTGGCATGCTTTTCATTTTTCAGCAGATGCTTACTACACAAGGTACAGAAGTGAGTTAACAGAACCTTCTCTAATGTGCACAGAATCAATGCCTTGGATATGTTAAGGTTGAAGTATAGTGGGAATTTTATGTTTGCTACCGTATGTTTAATTTATAATGACAATAGAGCATTTCCATTTATGCTAATGCATGATTTTTATTGTATGTTTGATTTATAATGATAATAGAGCATTTCCATTTACACTAATGCATGATTTTTATTGTTCCCATGCTTATGATGTCCTGCAATCTCTTCAGTAACCTCACTTCTCTTCTCTTTTGTCTCTTTCTACATGTTTGCTACTTAATTTCTTTGTCTGTTCACCTCGAGTAAAAAAATACTAAAATGAAAATTTTATCTTTGTATCATGGATTTCTTTCACTTCAATGACACATTTAGTGTGAAGTCCCACATTGAAAATATGTTTCATTTTGCTTTACTTAAGTTATTAATTCTTTTATGTGGTCTTTGGTATATTTCAGTTCAGTTTTAATTTCAATGATTAAGTGTCCTCATTCTGGTAGGATATGAGAGGTCTATGCATCTATCAAGTGATATAAATATTGGAGAGTTGTTAAGGATTTGAGCTTTGTTGATTATTTAATGCTTTTGGATTATATGGATTTATTTCCCTTCTCTGTATTAATCTAGATACTTGTTCTCAATTTAAGTTAGTTGCTAGCATTGATTCTTCTCTTTTCCAACACCAAATGCTGAAACCTAAAAATTGGAATTTCACTGTTCTCAAATTATGTTCAGTTCTACCAAGTTTGAGCTCTTTCTTGCCTTATTCAGAGCCTTAAAATTATCAGCTTTCAAATTCATAAGAAACCCCAAATGTCAAACTCATCTTCTTAGCAATGCTAGAAAATTCAATCTATCTGCTTTCATCAAAACTTCAATTCAACTTTTTGTTATCATTTTACTTTTGTATAAACGAATTCCAATCTCTAAACCCTAATACCATTTATTGTACCAAACCATCATAAACCACAATAAAGCAGTTTGAGGAGTACATTGCATTTATCTTCTTTCTTTTTCCATGAAATTATCCTAACTGCAGAGTTGATGTCTTTGAGGAAGACGTTGCATTTTTTTGTGTTTTTCTATAGAATGGTTTAAAAACACAGATTTCATTCAAGCGGCAGGCATATACACATGTTTTCTTTAGTGAATTATAATGAAAATAGTGCTATGCCTGTTCCATTCCTTATGGTAAACACATCAATGTTCGCATAAGGAATGGCCATAATCAAAATCATGTCCTTCCATTTTGTTTTCTCTTCTTGTCTCATCTGTAATTGTGCATTACTGGTGGCAATCTGTTACTGTGACTGTGAGTCTTTTTCAACCTTCTCTGGATGTGGCAGGAGGGTTACTTAAAGCTGAGGAATCAAGCAATACAAGTTTCAGAAGAAGTAACCAGATATATGCAGCCTTGATTGGTTTTCTTTCATCAATAACTGGTGGAATCTGCTACTGTCTCATAAAGGCTGCAGCTAAGGCATCAGATCAAGCCGTGTAAGTATTTTCTTTTTTTTTTAACTAGAATGGAATCCTTTGAAAATTTCGCATTCTGCAATTCTTTCTATTTTTCTATGTTTTAAAAGTATTTTTTTTATCATCAAACTTGCTCCTGAATTTTTCTGTAATTGTCATTCCAATATTTATTTTCGCAAACCTTATTATGATATCTACCCTTGGTTTATCTGTCAATTCTATTAATGCTTGAGGCAAATACTCCTTTTCTAGGGTGACAGTTTTTTCATTTGGCATACTGGCTAGCCCTGCTGCTGGAATATGCACATTTGCCTTAGAGGTGAGTGCCATAAAATATAAATGTTTAGAGAGACACATTTTTTATGTGTAAATAGTTAGAGGTTTGGCCATGGCTGATCTAATGTCTACAAACTTCCATTTACTCTGCATAATTGTACCATTTATTACTTCCATGCAAAGTGCCATTTTTGGAAGTAAATCAGAAATCTCATGATAGACTCACTGGCCCAAAATCCTGGTTTACCTTGCATGTCATACTTCCATGGATTTTTTTAATCATTTCTTTGCCAATCCTTGTTTGCATATAAAAGTGCCAAGTGATATTAACAAGAGTAGTTAACAGTTGCTTGAATGCATTGTCAAAGCCTAAACCTGCAGTTCATTGTGCATGGAAAGTGCCTTTTATATGAATAGAGTTGTTCCAAACAAGTAAACCATTTCAAACTGGTAACGTGGAATGTTTAATGTTTATAGACTCAATACTTGTCATAGGCTAAAGCATGTAGAAAATAAGAGGTAAATTTGAATAACTAGTTGTATTTCTTGATTTCTGTTGGTTAAGAAATAAGCTAAAAATTTTGACTGTTGCCTGGTATTGACTGCCAAATATTAAAGCTGCAGCAACGCATAAATGGATGTTTATTGTTGCCTTCATCTGTTCCTCTAGGTTGACAACATAATCTCAATTTGCAGATTGGCACTTTTAGTGCCTATCTGCCACTAAGTTCTCAATTTCGCTTAAAAGTTTTATAGAATGAATTACATGGTTTAGGAATTAGAACCTGGCAGCCAACCTTCTAGTTTGCTACCTAAATGACCCAACCAAAAATTGGTGTTTGCTAAAGTCTTAAATATACCTATTGTCAATAAAGTAACAAAGAATGTTTTGAGGCTCAAGTTATGTTTAACCGACTAATCAATTCTGCTAGACCTTATTATCTCTTTATATCTATGAGAAGCTATTTCATGATAATAAATTATATTATTCGTTTCATATAGTAGTTCTCCTAAGGATTATGTATTAGGTAATTACTTCCTCTTGGATTTATTTAATTATCAAATTTGTAAAGGTATTATATTGACATGATTGTTGAAACCTAAAATTCAACTCTTTCATTATGTATGACATTTCCTAAGATAAAAACTTTGGAAGGATTATCAAATTTTGAAGTGTTTTTGTTTATCTTTCTACAGTTTTAACACAACTTTATTGATATTTTGGAAAAGACAGTGGATGTTTTGATTAAAACAGGTAGAAATTATGCTATTATTGCTAAGATGACTGATAATGCTCTCCCTAAAAAGCTTTTAAAAAAAAATACTAATACTTTTTATTTTACTAAATAATTGGTAGCAACTAACTAGAATATGTAATAGAGTAGGGTAGTTGACGAAAATGCTAAAATAGATGTGAGTATAGAGTTAAGGATAAATTTAGGAATATATATTCATGAAAAGGTAGGAGTGGTTGTAGAAAAAACTTAAAAATAAAACTGTGTGAAAAACTAAGAGTAAAATTAAATGCATATTGAAAAACTACTCTTAAGAATTATACAAGCACCTTAGTTTTATATACAACTAACTAGTGGGTAAACAAGGAAACTAAATCTTCCTAAAATTGATCTTATAATTGAGGGATTGTCTATCCTAATTTTCTGTCCTTAATTCAAGGGATGCAAATACTTAATTCTAAGGATTCTAGGGATACAGATACTTAATTCTAGAGATAAAAATAAATATATAGATTACAAGATTACAACCCGTTGTAAATAAGTGTTTTTCTACACTCCCCTCAAGCTGGTGAATAGGTGTTTTCCGTTCTCAGCTTGGAAATAATTTCCTGAAATGTTGCACTACTAAGATCTTTAGTCAATACATTTGCAAGTTGACCTTTGGTTGGTACATGCAGTGTACAAGTCAACCCGCTATCTAGTTTCTCCTTTATGAAGTGCCGGTCTACTTCAATATGTTTTGTTCTACCATGTTGTATAGGATTGTGTGCAATGCTTATTGTAGACTTGTTATCACGATAGAGTCTTATTGGTCCATCCCATTTGATCTTCATGTCTTCTATGATAATCTTTAACCATAGTAGTTCACAAATTCCTTGAGCCATTGCTTTGAACTCTGCTTCAACACTTGATCTTGCCACTGCATTCTATTTTTTTACTCCTCCAAGTCACAAGATTACCACTTAGGAAAGTTCAATAGCCTGATGTGGATCTTTTATCAATTACCGGACTTGCATAATCCGCATCTATATATGCCTTCAGAACCAACCCCGAATTTCTTTTGTACAAGATACCTCTCCCAGGATTGGCCTTCAAATAATGTAATGCACGGTAGACGGTTTGTAGGTGCACTTTTTTAGGACTATGCATAAATTGACTTATCTCACTCACAACATATGCTATATCAGGTTTAGTATGTGAAAGATAAATGAGTCTTCCAACTAATCTCCGGTATATCTCTCTATCTACAATAGCATATTCTTTAGTTTCTCCAAGTTTATGATTAGGATTATGCGAGCTTCCCAGTTTCCTTAAAAAGATCCATCACATATTTCTATTTTGAGATGAAAACACCATGCCGTGAGTGAGCTACTTCAATTCTTAGGAAGTACTTCAATCTCCGTAGCTCTTTTATCTCAAATTCTCTAGCCAAACACTATTTTAGAGATTCTCACTCTTTTTCATCATCTCCTGTTACAATTATATTATTAACATACACTAATAGAACAATGACTCTCTTTGAATCCGAGTGCTTGATAAACAGTGTGATCTCCTTTACTCTACATATATCCCATTGCTAACATCATTTTGGCAAATCTCCGGAACCAAGCCCTAGGAGACTATTAAGGCCATATAAAGTCTTTTTTAGCTTGCATACTTTGTTTGCTTCTAGATGACCTCCAAATCTCAGTGGAACTTTCATATATATTTCATGTTCCAAATCACCATGTAGAAAAGCATTCTTTACATCAAATTATTGAAGCTGCAAATTATTTTTTGCAGCTTCAATAATAACAAAAGCCTAACTTTATTCATCTTGGCAACTAGAGCAAAAGTTTTCTAATAATCCACTCCATAAGTTTGAGTGTAGCCCTTAGCCACCAACCTGGCTTTATACCTTTCAACAATATCATCCTCCTTGTTTTTACAATGAAAATCCATTTATATCCAACTAGATTTTTTCCTTTAGGCGATTCTACTAGTTCCCATATCTTATTTTTCTATAAGGCCTCCATTTCTATTTTCATGGCTTGTCTCCATTTCTCACTGGATAATACTTCGGATAATGTAGTTGGAATAGAAAATAGTGTTTAGGCTTGCAAGAAAATTTTTAAGTGATGGCGAGAATTTTTCAAATGACACAAAATTAGAGATTAGGTATAGTGGATGCTTAGTACATTCTCTAGTTCCTTTCCTAATGGCAATAGGCAGATCATAATCACTAGTTTTAGTTTTAGAAGATTCGTGCTCCTTTTGAGAAATAGAGTCAGAGACTATAGTTACCTCATTTTCAGAGTTAGGATGAGATTCTTGGACTTGCATTGGTTCAAAAGCTGGAACTTTTCTTCTTGAGTACACCTGTAATTCCTTCATAGAATCAAGAATAATATTATCTTTTGTCACATCTTCTGTGTTTGGAACTAGTTCAGAGCTAAATTCAGTATTTGACTTGGACTCAAATGAAACAGGTTTAGACTCAAATTCAGTGTTTGGAATGAGTTCAGACTCAAATTCAGTGTTTGATTTGGACTTAGAAGAATTAATGGGTGAAAATGTTGAATAAGAGGATAAGTCAAGCAAAAAGAGGTCTTTATCCTTATCTTTCATGAATGAAGTCTCCCTCTGAAGATAAGGTTGAGAAAAAAATGGTGTACTTTCTTCAAAAGTGGCATCTGCAGACACATAAAATTTTTTGATAGGAGGATGATAGCACTTATATCCTTTTGAGTTGATGAATACCCCACAATAATGCACTTAACTACTTTAGGGTCCAACTTCCCCCTATTATGATTGTGAACATGAACAAATAATGTACAACCAAATATCCTAGGTGTGAGGTTGTTTGTGGTATTAAAGTTGGATAGAATTGTAAGAGTAGTTTCATAAGAGTTTTAAATCCCAAAACCCTTGAAGGTAACCTATTTATAATGTGTGGTAGTGAGAACAGCTTTCCCCCAGTAGGATTTTGGTACGCTTACTTGAACAAGTAAAACTCGGGTTATGGGTAGTAAATGGCTGTTTTTCCTCTCTGCCACTCCATTCTACTGTGGAGAATTAACACAAGATAACTCATGGATAATCCCTTCTTTTTGGAAATAGGTAGACTCTAGTTGAAATAATCTCTTACATTATCAAACCTAAATCCCTTGATTTTCACTCCAAATTGATTTTGAATCATGTTTTGGAAGTTTAAAAACACACTATTCACATCTGATTTGGATTTAAATAAAAATATCCAAGAGATCCTAGTATAATCATCTATCAAAGAAGCAAGCCACCTTGCACTAGAAATACTAGGAATTGTAAAGGGACCCCAAATGTCATCATGAATCAAATAAAAAGGAGTAGAACTTCTTTTGTTACTAATTGGAAAAGACACACATCTATGCTTTGCAAGTTCACAAGTATCACAATGAAAATTTTCAATATTTAATCCTTTGAACAAATAAGGAAACATGTTTTTCAAAGTTCCAAAAGAAGGATGTCTAAGAAAAAAAATGATAAAGTCAGATTTTATCTTTATTGGGAGATTTTTCAGAAAGAAATGACAAAAGTAAATCATTCTTGATATTACTTGTATTGTTTGATGTCTCAAGATAGTATAATCCATCCTTTTCCTTAGTAAGTCCAACCTTTTTTCCTGAACTTTGGTCCTGAAATTCACAATATGAGGGATAAAAAGTCACGTGGTAGTTTATGTCTCTAGTAAATTTTTGAATAAATATCAGATTAATAAACAATCGAGGAACATGAAGAACATTTTTAAGAACAAAGGAAGAATTAATTTGAATATCTCTTAATCCTGCCATTATAGTAAGTGAACTATCTGCAACAACATTTTTCTTATTCCTAGGACAGGATATATGTATTAAACTTCTATGAGGAATGTGTCATGTGGTTTGTGACTCCTGAGTCAATGACTTAAGAACTCAAAATAGGCTTAACCAAAACATTTGATCCATGACGATCAGAGACTTTGCCTGAACTTGAGATTTTACCCAAGAAACATACTCTAGTGGGCTTTTCAAGGGTTTTCAATAGGCTTCTTGGCTTCTCAATCTCTTTTCTGTCCAACTCTCCTTGTTTTCGAGACATTTATAGTATTTTGGTGGTTTTACCAGTTGACATTTTTCTCAAATCGGGTGGCATTATAGTGGATTTTGTTATCTTTAACATTGTTATCTTTCTTTGAACTGAAACAAGTCTTAAGATATAACCAAAAATGACTCTTAGCAATTAAAGCTAAAGAAGGGAAAAATAAAATAGCTATGAAGGCCTTAATGGGGTTCCGCAATGAAAGTCTAAAATAGAAGTCAACAGTGAAAGCTGAAAATTTTACTTCCCAAGAAGAGCCTAAAGCTCTTATACCATGTGAAAAAAACTAAAAAATAAAATTGTGTGGAAAACTAAGAATAAAACTGAATGTGTATTGAAAAAATGCTCTTAAGAATTATACAAGCACCTTAGGTTTATATACAACTAACTAGTGGGTAAACTAGGAAACTAAATCTTCCTAAAATTGATCCTATAATTGAGGGATTGTCTATCCTAATTTTTTATCCTTAATTCTAGGGATACAAATACTTAATTCTAGAGATACAAATAAATATACAAATTACAAGATTACAACCAGCTGTAAATAAGTGTTTTCCCACAGTGGTAACAATTTAAAAGTAAATTTGTTTTAGGTGGTAAAGTTTTAACCACGTAAAGGAGCAGCCTATGAGTGTTCCACTAAGAAAAAACTGACTTACTTGGATGACATCCATGTCCAAAACAAAGAAAAGACCAAAGAAGACTTGGATGAAAAGTATCAAAAGAGACATACTATTTATTGAGAATATGGCCCTAATATAGCACAGTGGCATAATGTGATCCTTGTAGCTAACCCTCGTTATGTGAAAAGGATTAGTTTGTTGTTATCATGCACTTGCTCCTAGTTGGACTTTCAAATCAATCAGTTTGTATAACTGCCAACTATTTTACTAACAGTTAGCTCAGAACTTGTTTTGAGTAGAGTTTCTACAAGTGGAGCTAGAAATCATTATTTTGAATATGGTTTGCATTAGTTGCATTTCTTGGTATTTCAAGTGTTTACAGCTTTTCTCAACAAAACTTTGCATTTACTCGTATATCACAGGAGTTTGTGCTGCCAAGTTTCTATTCACTATCTCTGATGCTTGCACTTGGTATTCTGTCCTTCTTAGCTGAGGTTTGTTTCCAATACAACAATCAATAAACACTATTGCAACAACAGTTGTAATAACTGATTTTTTTTCTGACCTATTTTTCTATCACAATAATTATAGTAACCAGCATACTGAACTGTAGTTTCCCAATTTTGTGGCAATGCTTTATCCCATATATGCCTGAATATGTTCTGCAACAGGTGTTTCTAGCGCGTGGACTTCAGCTTGAGAAAATTAGCAACGTTGCAAATGTCCAGTTTATTGAGGTATAAACTCTCTCTCTTTCTCTCTCAGTTGCACTTAGGGTATTCTTTCTGATTGATTGTGTAACCAGCTTAGAAGGAGGCTGTAGGTTCCTTGAGGTTAAGTTCTAGCTGGAGCTACTTCTTACTCTACAAATTAAAGTTGAGGTCATTAATGCTAACAATGCATTTTGAGTTGTTGGTGGGAGAAAATAAGAGATAAGAGAGAAGTGATTAAGACGAAATCTAATTCCACTAATTGCTTGGATTGGAGAAAAGCAGTGAGAAAATAAATAAGATCATTTTGATAGGAGGAAGATACTTGAAGTTGTTTTAAATTATGTTGTGGCGAAAGAAAAAGGCTTTTGTTTTGACTTTGTCAACTATGGACATATATTATGGGACTAGTCTTAAAAGGAGAGAAACAATTTTACTAGCCTGAAGGAGAAATTCAATTTGTTTTATTTTGTACAATTTTAATAGCCGCAGTCTATTTTTGTTGCTTTGGCATTCATGATGCAAGTGCTGAAGATCAAACCTAGAATCTACTTCTTAAAGAAAGTGGGTGAACCATTTCCTATTTTAAAATAGTTAATCATTGTCTAGTAAGTGCTACAAATCATATTGATTTTTCTTGCCTTGGATTATGTTTCAGGTTGCCTTGTCACAGTTATGGGGCATAGGCACCTCAAGAATCGCTCCTTCATTCGGTCGACTTGTTGGGTGCCTACTTATCTTAATCTCAGTGTCTTGTACTATGTATTTTGGACCCGAAAAAGAGATTGAATGAGAAATGGTACATTCTTTTCTTTTAGTACCAAAATTTTTGTGTTCAACTTGTTTTATCGTAAAAATTTTTAATTGTATTTAGTGGCTTTTGCTTTCTTCTGCTGGCAAGATGGCTTCTTCAACTAAAGCAAAGCAAATCATGCCCTTGCCCTTCAGCCCTTCTAACATGAATAGCATTTTTTTTGTATTGTCTATTGGTTGGCAAAAATGGAATGTTCTTTGTTTTAGTTGAGCTAAAATCTTGGTGGATTTAAATGTATTTTTAGTGTCCAAGACGTATTGAAAATTCAATTTTATATGATATTGTAATTTTTTAATTCCAGTTTTGCTTAAACTCACTTATTTTAGTGATGCTATATGAGCAAGATATATTTAAGTTTTTTTATTTTATTCTTTTATTTCACACAAAATAAAAGTATATAACCATGTAAAATCATTAACTTAATTATGGAATGCAAAATTTAATTACTAGGAACATACCATCTTGAAGATTAAAGTGCTTGCTATATGTTAAAAACATTGGAAAACTACCTTTTTGATGAAGATGATACCACAAAAAATATAGAAAAGAAAAAAAAAAGTTTGAGTTTCCCATGCAAATAAAGTCCCCTTTTAACTCGGAAATTGGAATTGTAGAAAAGGGGTTGAAAGTGTTGGGCTGTGTCCTGTGTGCTTGAAAATTCTTCTTAAGCTTGGTAATTAAAGAGGCGAGGAAAGTCAATATTCTTCACAAAATAGAATGTTGAACATTACTTTAGACATAAAAAAATTATAGATTAAATTGCTATCTAATGCTATCGATGTAAGAATTATTAGATTGTGTTCGCTACGAGATAAAAGTCTGCTTTGGAGACATGACATGGTCTCTCCCACTGTTGAAAACAAATGCCTAAGTAAAGGAAGGGTGGTTATTATAAAAATACAATCTTGTTATATGTGAAATCTTTTTTCCCCTCGACACTATAATTAGATTTGATAATTCATATTTTTATGTTATATTTAATATGTTTAATGATACAATTATTAAAATATAAATATTAAATATATATTAATTTAAAATATAAATATAATACATTTAATATATGTGTTATATACAATACAATATAATTAATATGTATATATTTAATTTGTTTAAATAAGATATAAATAAACAAAAATAATATAAATATACACGAATAGACACGATTAATATAGATACACATGAATAAATTGATTAACATAAATATATATAAAAATATAATTAAAATAATAAATTATTATAAATTATTTATCATTTATAATTTAATAAATTTGATATATTAATAATATAAAAAATACTTACATATTAAAAAAATAAAAATATTTAATATTTATTTAATATGTATTTAATATATCTCCATAATTATATTAAAAGCAATCCCTACCTCAATTGTAGTGGCCACGTTTTTAAAGTCATAAAAAATATATTGAAGGTTATTTTGGGTCATAAAAAATTGTCTTTACTTTGTTTTTTCTGCCTCCAGCTGTCCTTTCTCGCTTTCTCTCTGTCTTCAGCTTTCATGCGCTGCTTTTCTTCTTCAAATCCGACTATCAGCAACGCTGGTGTATGGGCATTTCCGTTGGGGTCAAAAGCAAGGCTCTCACGGCCAAATGCTAAGTGGAGCTGGACGGTTTTAACGCCGTGGAGGTGGGTGTTGGAGCCTAGAATTGCATGTGAAGCCAACATGTTGAAAGATATGATGATGGATAACAATGCTACTAACGTTGTACTTAACGTTAGTTTCAGTTTAATGTTCATGGCTTTTTTTTTTTTTTGATATATTGGATTTGCAGCCTTTGCTTTTTAGTTGCTCCGATTTAAAGTTTTGGGATAAGTTTTGCTATGAGGATTTTATCTATGTTTCTCAGTTTTGTGTTTTCAGTGTTAATAAAATTCTGCATGTCTAATTTTTTACTCTTTTTGTTATATATCGTTGTTCAGATATGATTTATACCGTTACCCGTATTTTCTCTCAATCTGAGAGAAAGAATAATAAAAAATTTTAATCCTAATTTTACTTGGAAATTCATTTAAATCTTGATTTTATTTTTTTTCTCAACTAATTCATTAATTGTTTCGATCTATTTTGACTTTTAACTTTTTTTTTTTTTGTTGTAGCTAAAAAAAATTCGAGTTTTCATCCCTATTATATTAGAAATAAACATGAAGATGAAGAACACTGAAAGACTCGCAAATTTGTCTTTAGCAGGTTTGCCTTTTTTGTTTTATTTTGGATTAATTTTAGTTTATTATTGAAAATTACTCTTATTTGTATTGAAGGGACAGCTTAACAATGGAAGGTTAAAAGATTTAAGGGTAATTTTGGTCTTAAAGGAAGCTTCTCCAGAAGCTTCATCTGCTTTTATTCTCCAGAAGTTTCATCTCACAGAAAGGTAATCAGGGAAGGGGAAATTCATGCTATACACAGTCTCAAAAGCACTCCAAGAAACAAAGAGAGCAGTTTGCACCAAAACTACGCCAGCTTGGACCACCAGGGCTGGCCAGGCCACCAATCTGGCTTAGTTGTCCTCACCAAAGTCAGCTTATTCAACTCCTGAAGTTGCCACCCTCATCCACCACCGTGGCCTTGCCGATGGTGGCGTTGGTATTTTCTTCTCACACTTCTATCACCATTTTATAACCATGATAAGAAAAATCACGCCTTTCTTCTTTTTGAGCTTATTTCAATAAAACAATTGTCTTTTTTTGGTGATTGGATTTTGTTGTAGATTATTGTGAACCTACGGTGAATTTTTGGGAAGATCCCATGAACCTATCTAAATGGAAAGAAGAGCATGAAAGGTTTTTTTTTTAATATCTTTTTAATTGTTTTAGTTGCTTATTTTTGAAAACCCATTTCTTTGAGATGCTTAAATTTTCACTTTTTTTTAATTGAATTAATCTTTTATGTTTGTTGCAGGTTGTGATTGTTTCTTTAATAGGCTGGGGTTTACTCTTTTACGGAGGGTATAAGTATTTCACTAGAGGCAAGAAAGAAGTGAAAGAAGAAAAGCTAATCATTTTTTTAAACCTTTTTTTTACTAATTGACTATTCATTTTTTGGTCATCCAATGCATGTTTCGTTTTTAATTAAAAAAAAAAAAAAAAAACTCTTAAGGATACACATTTGCTCAGTTTCTATATGGTTGAACCTTTCCTATGGTGTGACTGTGAATATTACAGATTTACCGAGACATTTGCTCAGTAAATCTTCTCATTGGAGGTGATTCTCAATCTTTTTAAATATTTTTGTTTCATTTTTCCTTTGAATTAAGAAAGTTCTACAGTTTCGGCTGGAAATAGGCAAATCAATAACCCTAGCTCCATTGGTGGCCTTTCGGCAAATGAACATGCTGAAGGAGCAACTTTTGATCCCTTAATTAGAAGGAAAGCGTGGACGAGATGGCCTGAAGACAACAACTTCTATGAAGCTGTAATTGCTTATATCAATCCCTTTGAGGTATGTTCAAGGCATACAAAGACGATTTCTGTCTCTCACTCTGGGATTTACCTTAAGTCAGAGTTTTTAGGTGATGATGAAAGTTTTAAAATTATGTAACATTGAAAGCATATAAGGCTTAGTCATAGTGGCACTTTCTGGAGTTCTTTATGCAGTTTCTTGACTTGTGAGTCAAAAGCACATATGAAGCTTTTTTATTTCCCAATGTTGCAACAATTTTATTAGGAAAAAACTTTGTTACATATTTAAAGGCACCCATAATCATAATCTGATTGTTCGAAAGGAATGTGCTTTATGCCTCAAAATTTAAATGCCTGCTAAGAGTTGTAAAATGCCTTTTATAACTATTTTAATAATAATTCTGTGGATTGCTAAGCTATCATCGGTACATTTTATTTTTTTTACAGGGGCGACATGCTCTGGTTTATGATATAAATACAACAAATAAGACTGAGAATGGGTATGATTTCTTAGCATGAACTGAATCATTGGTGTCTGTAGTCATTATTTTATGCAGCGATAATGTTAGAATGTGTTGAAAAATATAATTTTAATATAAATATTATTTGCATGATAGTGAAACTTAATACAAGAAATAGAAAAACCTTATTATAGGTTTATGTGTCCACATATCTCTTCTGGCATACAATTAGAAATTGGAAGTTGGGCTAGGCTTTGGCTGGGGTGAGATTTGTTGGTTTTAGAGAAGAAATTTAAAAGCATTATAAAGTCATACTCTCTCAATCTCATAAAAGAAAGTTCTTTCTGATAGCAGGCAAATATTAGATTGACACAGTTGAACAGAAAGTGACCCTCAAAATGGTTCTTTGATTGTAGCCATTGTTTAGTTGTTATTTCAGTAAGTAAAACTTCACTGCTTTGACTTTTCGATGGTAAGCATTACAACAACAACAACAACAACAACACATTAAGTCTTATATTCTATATTCGATGATAAGCATTATGTTGAGTTAAACTAAAATGGAACACAATCTTAAAAGATTGAAAGGCAGTCAGTTTGAAATCTATTTGGAACTCAAATTTTAACAGTTAGCTTTTTTACTTTTTCTGTGTTGTAAGGTTTGGAGAGGGTAGAAAAGGACCCTTGCCTCGACTCTTCTATGAATGATAAAGATCAATTAGATCTAATGAAATGCAAATGAAGAACAAAAGTTTGAGGTTCTTTTGTTTCTTCTCGCTTGCTTCAACTGCTTTAGATTTAAATTGATGGCTGAACTTAATCTGAAGTCTATATGCTAGTAATGTATGTTAAATTCTTTGAGTTGTAAATGGTGCTACACATTTTACTTCATTAAGAGTACAATATTCTTCTATTTATGCATATCAGATTTTGGAACTACAAAGTCGAATTGAGAAAAACAATTTAATTTTAAAGTCTTTACACACTGTTGAGTTTTGCTCACAGTTTGAGTTTTCTGTCAAAACAAGCTTGCAGCATAGCACGGGCCTGCAGGTTAGTATATTTAAATTTTAATTTATATTACATAATTATATTAATTTTTGATATCAAATTAAAAATTAAAAAATAAAATAATAATATATAAAATTAATATTTATATTTATATTGTATTTATTATTAATATAAAAAATAATTTTATAATAATTATTAAATAAGTATCATAATTAAATGTTTAAAATAATTTTTATATGAAATTATATAGTTAATTATCATAATTAAAAAATAAAAAATTAAAATAATCTTTATATATTTATATTAAATTAAAATAAATATAAAAAATATATTAAACGTGTTCAATATATTAAACGTATATTTATATAATAAAATAAAATTAAATATATTATATTTATCATATTATGTGTTTATATTATGTGTATAAAGGGGTCAATATATATATATATATAACTAAGGCCTAAGAGCCCAAACCTCTCGAGGCGCCTCGAACCCTAACAAAGAGATGGACCTTGTCACCTCAACATAACATATGCCATGCTAAGGAAAGGACATTACATCACTTAGACAGCTAAAATCGAAGTCGGATTGACATGACCCCACCTCCCCATGAATACTCGTGGCTCCCCGACAAGGGTCCTGTACCTTGGTACTTAGCTCTTACACAGTTTGATCCTAACCGACGAAGGGGTTGCTCCCCGTAAGAAGCATCGATGTAACCCCACAAAAATTTTCATCAAATCCAAACGGAAATTAATTACAGTAATATTAATAATAGTAATAAAAATTATTATAACTTTTATTAAAAAAATTAATAAAAAATTTATGTTAATTTAATCTTTTAAAATTGATATTTAAATTTTATTAAAAGTATAATAAATTTTAATCGTATTATATTAAAAATATAATAAAAATTAAATCTTGATTAACATTGCATTTAGATTTTAAAATATATTTTTTTTAACGTCAAAGCAATATTAAATATTTTATGGTTTGTGTTATTTAATTATCATTTTTTTTAATATATATTTTAAAAATATTTTAATTTTTCACAATAATATTAAATACATATAAATCTAAATCATATTTTTTTATAATAATTTTTCGTAAAATTTTTATATACATTTTTTTAATTAAAAATTTTCTATCCGCAACAATTATTTAAAAGTAGACTTTAATACATTCCAAGATTTGTAAATCCTGAAAGGAGGCGACCACGCGGCCCTCTCAAAGGATGCCACGATTGACCAACTCCGATAACTCATTTTCAACAATTATCGTTGGACTCTCTCACTCTTCATTTTCTCTACGTTCTCTTGATCTCATAGGCTCTTGCTCTTCTCCTCTATCATTTTTATTAACTTCAAATTTATTTGAGTGGGTGATAAAATTAATTTTGGTGATATTAAAAATAATGATCAATATAAAAGTAATATTATAATAACAAAATTAAAATAAATAATAAATAATATTGTTAGATATAAATACTAAGATAACAATGAGATAAATTGTAATAAAAAATAAATTATCATTAAAAATATTAAATTAAATAAAAATATTAGATTAACAAAATTATTTAAAAATTTTTAAATAAAAAATTAAAATGAAAAAATTCTGCATTTGTTTTCATAATATAATTAAAAAGATAAAAAAAAAAATTTAAATGATCGATTCATTATTGGAAAAAAGCCAACATTCGTGTCAAGCAATGAAATCCAAATGAGATTTTAATCGCATCTTACACGTTTTCTTGTACAAAATTTTAGTCTCGCCAGAGATACCTTTGCATCCAAAATAGCTCTCAGGCATTGGAGTGGAGATCGTCGAAAATCCTCATGTCTCCCCTTTCTGAAAGGAATGTCCTGGTGGGCTAACGTACGCTTATCTCACTACCTTCGGAATCCCGATGCATTAATTTTATCATAAGCAAGGATCAAAAAAGAGGTTTTTTTTCTATTGAAACACCTTCTTAAAGGACAGTGAAAGTAGCTTTCAAAACAGAAAATAATATCTTCTACCATACGCTGTCTAACAATTCTCGTATCACTAATAGCCTCAAATAACATTAATTCCACATCAATAACTCTTTTTTTTTTTACTCTTAATATCAAAATTAAATAAATTTTTTAAAATCCTCCTCCTGTAAAAAAAAAATTACGAATGAACTCCGATTTTACAGTATTTACTGTGACAGACACGTGGTTGTGTGAAATACTAACATTCTATATCCAATAAAATTAAAGTGCATTTTACGAAAATATTCTTAGCCGTACCAAAAGAATCAAATAGAAAAAAGCATATTAAATTATTATGAAAGCAAGTCCTTAGAATTACAGTTAATCACGTAAATGTCCCGCCACAATCCACATTTCCTCATGCATGGGCATTATGGTAAATTAAAGAATTTAGAAAAATAAATATTGGTAGCATTCATCATAAACGAAAAGCCATTGTTTGGACGGTGGCGTTTGTAAGCCAACTTAAGTTATCCCAAATTCCATATTAATTAAATATTTAATGTCTGTTTTTATTTTCTTTTTCTAAAGAAATAAAATTTAACTTTTCATATAAAAAAAGTCATAATCTAAAAATAATAAAAAAGATTATACAAATATTACTTTTTAAAATTGATTGCCTTAATCAATTAAATTAAATTTTAAATTTATATAATTAAAATTTTTTTTATCATATTATTACTCTTCAATTAACTGACATTCTTTTTATTTTTCCTTGTTAAGGAGGGCAATATAGTCATTAAGAACAAGCCACATGAACATTCACAATGTTATTTTGTTTTGTTTTTCATTTGATTTATGTTTAATTTATTATTTTTACATATAAAAATTCCTCAAACCTCCTAATGCATAATAACAGGTAATTTTTTTCTTATAAATTTTCAAATTAGATTGATTACTTTTAAATAGTAAAGATTTTTTTTTTATCGATAGAATTTTAAAATTTTACAAATAATATTTAAAAAACTAACATGTGTATTGATTTTTTAATACCGCTAATCTAAAAATCCAATCAGATAATTTTTTTTTTTTCAAATTGATGAATTTTTTGGCAACAAAAATTGATGGATTAGTTCTTCTCGTTGGAAAATCTTTAAAGGATAAGAGGCCTTTGTCAATGTTTTAAATTTTGAAATTTTCATTATCAAAAAGAAATTTTAAATTTTAAATGTATTATAGTAAGATATATCCATAAAATCGAGCAGATAATATTGGACTTTATAGAATGACACTAATGATATCTTATGTTAAATCTTTCTTCTTTTTTTCTTTTAAATATCTTATGTTAAATATTAATTTGTCACTTTATCATTATTTAAAATAATAAAAAAATTTATATTTGATGCAATGTCAATTTATAATGTTAATGAACTACATGATGATACATTATCAAAGAAATTAATTTTAAAAATATTTTTAAGATTAAACGTATTTGATTTTAGGATTTTAAAATTTTAAAATTAAATTTTTAATAAAATATTATTATATGATTAATTGAAGGTGTATAACATTCATAAGGTTCAATAGACATTGGTCCATATAGTTAGCCAAGTAATTCACACAAAATTAGCCTCACAATGAATATAGTTATTAAAGTAATACTAGTAAGATTACATTTTTTTAAAGTCACTTTCCTTCTCGTCGCCGTTTGTTCTTTGACTTTACCTTGTTTATCCCTCTCATTCCCACTTATTTACCATTTTGCTCACTCACCCATCCTTTTCTTCTTTACTATATCTATTTGTAAAGCTGTCCTCTCGCAGTCTGTTCCTGCCTAGCCTCAGCAAGCACATATTCTCTCTTCTTTTTCCCTTTCCACCCATGCCATAAAGGAACAAAGCAAGCAAGCAACAAAACGTAAAAGAAAAACTCTTCAATCCAACATTTAATGCTTATTAACTTCTTTACTAAATATTGTTGCTTCAGATCGTAATTCACAGCATTTATTGTCGTCTTTCATTTTGTATACCAACCTTCCCCATTCACTTTGCTAAACCCATTTTATACCTTTAGTATTTTTTTTTTTTTGGGACCAAAAACTTAAATGTAAGGTAGGGGACCATGTTGGATTCCCCAAATTCTGATTCTCAATGTAATTGTTGTGGACCACCCCTTCATATATTCTCCACCATTTTTTTTTATTTTTTAAATTAACTGACATATTATTAAAATTAATATTTAAAAGATATAAGTTTGAGAGAATTTAAATTTATAATATTTTTTAATTTGATATATAATAAAATAAAAAAAATTAATCCAAATCATTAAAATTAAAATTTTAAAATTTTAATTTTATATCATTTATTGATGGTAAAATTCCTAGCATTGTGTCCAAACTTTTTCTGATTTCAAACAAAACCTTTCATTTTCTCCTTACTTATATTAAGATTTTGCTCTCTTAATATAACAAAAAAAAAATATTAGCATTTTAATTTTGCTAGAAGGTTCATCTTTGTATAAATCTTATTATTACACATATCTTTCATATCATACTAGTATTGGATATTTATGATAAATGTCACATCATTAAAATTGTCATGCAACACCTGCGAATCCATGCTTTTCATTCATTAGACAGGATAAAATAATATTTATAATATTATCATTTTATTAATCTTAATATTTACAATTTTTTTTATACAAAAAAGGGCACATGAAATATTAATCTAACATGATAATTAATTTGACATATTAACATGACAATTTCATAAGTACATATGAAATGTACTTTCTATCTTCTCATTTTTATTCTTTATAGTGTCTAAAGCCTAGAGGTACCATTGGCTGCCATTAATTAGTATAGTTGGAATTTACAAGTAGATCTAATATTTTAAAATATAATTTATTAATTTGATATGAAAAAAATATAAAAATAATATAATTTAAATTTTTAATAAAAATATATTTAATAAAATTTTAAAAATATATTTTATATTTTTATGTTAATCTAAATTATAATATATAAATTATATATAAAATATAATATAAAATATAAATTATTAATATTTTATGTAACACAAATATATAAATTATTATAACTACTTGCAAGGGATAAAAGCTACAAGAACATGAATGTTGTATGACACCAAAACGGCACCGTAAAAGGATTTCCCACTGGGGTCCTTTTCAGGCCCAGGTGCCTCTTGCTGTGGCATTCTTCTGAATCTGTTGCTTCATTGATTGCTACCGGGGAAATTGTGGGGCCAGATGACTATTTGGTAAATAAACTAAGAACTCAAGGGCAAACACTAATTTAAAAAAAAAAAAAAAAAAAACTGATTCAAGAGAGGAGCAGAGAGGTAAGGGAAGGAAAAAAGAGTCTATTGGAGGGCTTCACTGAGAGGCTATTGCTGCTGGCTTTGCTTTTGCTCATTGGCATATTATTCTCTTTTTATTGTTTTTATTTCCTTGGAGGCAACTTTTCTTCACTTTATATCTCTACTTTACTTTGTTCTCAGTTTCCCTTCTCCTTCTTCTTCTTGTTTTTCCACTGCTACTTCTTTCTACTTCAACTTCTTCTTTTCTCTCTTTCCCAAAGCTTAATAACAATGGCAGAAATAACCCATCCTCCCATGGACCAGCTTCAAGACCTCGAGTACTGCATAGACTCTAACCCTCCCTGGGGTACGTGTTGTTTTGATTATTTTTATAACTAAAAAACGAGGCAGTAAATGAGAAAAATGGGATGATGGGTCTTGAACTTAAAGTTTCTTTTATGTTTGTTTTCTGTCTCTTCCATTTTTCTTTTTTGCTTTTCTCATTGTGGTAATGGCTTTAAGCTTTACGCGTTATGACACTAGGATGGTACAAGCAAGCAGAAAAAAAAAGAAGCTGTGGGTCATAGTTATGGCTAAAAACAAAAGGGTTGTTCCTTGTTGTTTTAGAGTCAGTAACTTTGTATTTCTGTGAATGTATCAGGAGACATTATGGCATTATTATGAACTTGACCCTAGTAGAGGGAAAATAAATTATTTTAAAAAATTTTACTTTTTTCCACTTTTTAATTGGGCTTCTCAAGTTTTGTTTATAATGTTAAATATGTGCAACATTTTGCTGTAAGTATTTGTTCCTTGATTTCCTGACAAAATGCTGCTTTTTCTTTATTTAAAAAAAAAAGATTTTGAGTCGTGGAGAGTTTTTCCCTTTTCATGATTTCTTTGGATAGTCGGGAATTATCATGAAACCAATGATTTATTTTTGATGATTTTATTGGGTTTTTTTCTCTGTATTTTCTCATGTACCAAACAGAGGATTCCTTGGTATTCATCATGTTTGGAAGTTGGTTTACTGAATTGAATGGCATTTCTGTAATTTCCCTGTTACATACAGAACAATCCTCTTTGGTTGCGTGTACAAATAGTCGTGCTTGATGAATGCAACTACTGGGTATCATTTGCTTTGTATTACAATAGTCATCAACTTGGAATGCAGAAAACTCATGCATGTTTTAGGGATCATTCCTTCAGTACGACTGCAATGACCACGGCCTGCGAGAGGATCATGTTTCTTTTTCTATGACAAGATATCTATTGGTCCCAAGCGTATAACACTGATGTACTTATATTTACAATTACCTTCTCTTGGTACAAATTCTGTCAGATGATCGACATCATATTGGAAGAGATCATGCACATTGTGCATTTGCTTTTAGCAATCCATATTAGGATGTGCTGTTTCTATATAGACTTATTAAATTGGATCTAGTCTCCAATTTAAGAATTATTTGTTGATTGATGAGGGTAGTGATGGTTTTTGAACTATTGAGGAGGCTATGAATTTCAACATTTCTTCTATTATAACAATTAGATTCTTAGTGAGATAGTTGGAATTGGATCTACTTTGTTTTGTTCAAGTGTAAGAGATTTGATCATTGCATTTTGTAACACTAAAGGTTTTTTTGCCATGTGAACCATTAGACTTCTGAAACTCCTTGCCAGCAGCTGCTAAATTATATCGGGCTGCCCGCCCTTAAGGGACCTATTTAACCACCATTGCCACCTTCCTTGAAATAACCTCCCTACATCTCATACCACTGGCTCCGCTTGTGCATCAGACTGCTGAAGGTCTCATCTATCCCCACCCTGCAATGGCTTTACTTATTTACTACTTCAATATGATATGAAGCTGAGAGAAGGTGGATAATAGTTGATATAATGTGAGATAAATGTCTAAGAAAAAGATAGGTTGAGGTTTGGTGCTTTTCTAGGCTCTTATTACCTCTACACGAATTCCATATGACCGAGAAATACACAAGCTAAATGCTTTGCAGCTTAAAGAATTGAAGGATCAAGTAACCAATTCAGTTTTCATAAGGATATTTCTTGTAGTCCCTGTTTTTAAGATTAGGCCACATTGTGACTGGGCTGCTAGTTAATTCTGTATTTCCAATTGCATTACTTGGGTACTCTTCTCTTGCCTTGTGTATGGAACTCTAACTTTCAACAACCTATAAGCATAACATTGAGCCATGTAGAGACAAAAATAAGTTGAAGAAAAGGGTGAGAGTAGGATGAATAACAAGGCCATTAAAAGTGATCGTCAACATTCAATATTGACAGAAAATATTTGTGGTCCACATAGGGAATAAGTTATGCTTAAGGATTTTATCTTAGATGCAAGTAAGATAAGACGCTTTTGATGGATGCTGATGTTTTTATGACTGCAGTTATGATTTAGTCTAGTAGATAAGTTGTTGAAATCTGAAGAATTTTCCCATGATGAGCCCATAATTGAAAAGCTACGCTCTTGCTATTTACAGGATTTCTTATAAACAGTTTCATTGATGTAGATCTCATCTCTGCCCCATAAAAAGGGTGTAGTAACAATTTCTTTCATTGTTAATCAATGTGGATCAATGCCAAGAATTAAGGGATTCTAGTTGTTTGTCCGCACCTGTAGCTGCATGCTAAGCAAAATTTAGGAGATAAGGGATTCTAGTTATTTATTCATACCTGTAGCTGCACTGCAATCACATTTCTATCACTGTATATATACCCGATTATTTTCTTTTAATATACACATACAGCTTTGTCACTCTATACCTTGTTATTCTAAATAATTATCAACAGCTTAAATATCAGTTCAATTAAGTCTAAACTAATGCATATTAGAAACAAGTCTTCATTTTGACTTTGTCAAGTTCACACGTGTAGGCTTCAAGTTTATTCCTGAATATCTTACCCATGCTTATAAACAAAGCTTTTTTCTTGCAGCTGAAACCATCCTATTAGCGTTTCAGAACTACATCCTGATGTTGGGTACAAGTGTAATGATTCCTTCATTGCTTGTCCCAGCGATGGGCGGAAGCGATGTAAGCTGGTTATACTCAAATTTTTTAGTTTGTTATCATCTTAATTCTTGCTTGGTTTATCTCATGAATTGCTGCCACGCCAAGGGATCTATGCTGGTAACTTTGAACCAAGTTTATTGGTTCCCTACTAGTATTATTTTTTGAGGTTAACATGCCATTGATTAATGAGATAAGGCCTTGTCTTTGCTTCTTTTTTCTGTTTTTCTTCTTTTCCCTTCTTCTCAACTTCACAGTAGATTGAAAACTGGTAATCATATATGGTTGAATTTTGGTCTAGAGGATCTTGGAGCACTATTTACCATGATAGATCATGCATTTATCCTTCTGCTAAAATTGCCTTCTTTTCTTTTAACACCTATCCTGTTTCTTTATCCATTTTTGGCTCATAACCAGGGGGACAAAGCACGGGTAATACAGACTTTGCTCTTTGTAGCTGGCATTAACACCCTTCTTCAAGCTCTTTTCGGGACAAGGTTACCAGCTATTGTTGGAGGTTCTTATGCTTATATCATCCCAATAGCCTATATAATAAGTGATTCATCATTGCAACGGATTAGTGATCAACATGAAGTAAGTTGCTTGTTGACCACCAGTTTCTTTATTTTTGAGCAAATGTGAACTGTCTAAATATAGCTGACAAGGATGAAAAAACCTTTTTACTCCATAGCTTATGAACATCAGAACTGTGTGAACATATGCATCCTAGCAAACATAGTAGTGAAACTCTGCCTTCTAACCTAGCAGCAGGAGCATCAGTGAGTCATTGCTTGGAGAAAGAGCAACTCTTATTTTTTCCAATATTAATTTAAGAAAGACAAAAGAACTCGTATAAATTTTAGATGGGCATCTAACCTAAAACCAATTGGTTGCTTTGATACCATGTTAAAGTTTAGAATGACCATCCAACCAAAAATCAATTAGCACTAGGTGGAGAGGCTTTGTTATATTTATGCGCCTGGGTTGCCCCCTATTTAACTGATTTGGAATTTCTTTTATCACCACTTCAATAGTCAGGACTTATTATTGCAAAAAAAGAAATCTAACCTTTCAGAGCAATATCAAGGGAGCAGGTGTCAATGTCCTGACAAGCTTACCTTGTAAAATTTATTCGTCATTTACATCATTGTCCTCAACTAGTCATATGAAAACACATAACTTTGAATTGCTTTTTACACCCACCTATCAACATTGGTTCATAAAAATGGGCTAGGGAAACATGAGTTTAATGGGTTTCTTTCTCCTAAGAATAAGATGCTTACTGCAAATAGTTTTTTTTTTTTTTTTAACTCTACAGAATTATGCGTTTAAGTTGATGAATCTAACTTCTTTAAACTCATGGTATCAAAAGCTGTGGTACTGTTAGTATGGTGCCCCATCAGTGCCACATCCCACTAGAGTCTGTCAATTTGATTCCCTTTTCAGTAATTGAACTTTCTCATTGCTAGGGGTAATTTGAAAGAGATCTTCCCATGTGATTGGTTTGCAGAGATTTATACAAACGATGCGAGCTATTCAAGGAGCTCTTATTGTAGCATCAAGCATACAAATTATCGTGGGATACAGCCAAGTTTGGGGTCTCTTTTCACGGTACACTGGTAGCATAAGAAAATGCGAAGCTGTTAACCCACCAGAGTAGGATTATATTGTTCTTCACTGTTGTTTTGGTTTTCCATGCAGGTTTTTTAGCCCTGTTGGTATGGCGCCAGTGGTTGCATTGGTAGGCTTGGGACTGTTTCAGAAAGGATTTCCTTTGGTAGGTATTGCTATAGAAGGAATTTTTTTTATTACATTGAGCATCCATTTAGTTGATGGGCTCTGAGTATGGAACGTCTATTTGATATATTTAGCACATCTTGCAGCCACATAATCAGGAATGCTAATGTCTGCATTTTAGTGTTTTTTTTCTTTTTTTTTTTAATTCTAGCTCATTGAATATGATTGTTAGCTCAGTGTGCTATCAAAATTCCTTTTAAAGTGTCACAGGAAGCTACTAAATCATCCTTGTTGTCTTTGGATGATTACTTTAGTCTCCTTAAATGGTGTTGAGCCTTCATTCGAATCATTCCCCCTCACTGAGTGGACACTTTCTCTTATCTTTAGTTCTTTTTATGATCATAACTACCCACTTTCTGGGGAAAAAAGTAAAAAATAAAAAACCAACCATGACTTAAAGTAAAAGAAAAATTAGATTCTATTGGGAAATGTTTATGCTAATAATGGATGCGTAAGTCTAGTTAACATTAAGAAAATCATATTATAGTTTCGCCCAAACACATTTAATGTCATTTTTTCAGTTAAGTGGGCTGTTTGATATCAATGCTAAGATTGTTATTTAGCTTTTTAAGGAATGAGATTCTTAAATTCCAATGTTGACTTGGAGTGTTGACCATCCATATTTCATTTTTCACCGCAATGTTTTTGTTTAACAGATGACTTATGTTTGCAGTAACCACTATATCAAATCTTACTGAGATTAGCTGAATGGGATACTTCCTGTTTCTATGTGAGTATCACACACCTCTAATTTGTTGTTTGCATTATTTGTTTCAGCTGGGAAACTGTGTGGAAATCGGGCTGCCAATGCTGTTGTTGGTGATTGGAGTGTCGCAAGTAAGTTTTTAGTATAACTGTTACCATATCACTGCCCCAGTTATTTTTTCTCTCCTTTTATTTTTATTCACTCCTTTATTTATTTTGCTTGAGTTTCACATGTTATGGCTTTTTGGGAGTTTGCAGTACCTAAAGCATGTGAGGCCATTAAGAAATGTCCCTATTTTTGAAAGGTTTCCTGTATTGATCTGTGTTGCAATCATTTGGATCTATTCTCTTACACTGACTGCCAGTGGGGCTTACCGTTACAAGCCGAATACTACTCAACTTAGTTGCCGTACTGACAGAGCAAATCTCATATCTACTGCTCCGTGGTATATCAAAATATCAACTTTAGCTTCTCTTTACTTGTGTTCTGTTTTCACTGGTTCTGACATTAATGTTTATGATTCAGGTTCAAGTTCCCATACCCTCTTCAGTGGGGTCCTCCTACATTTTCAGCTGGCCATTCCTTTGCTATGATGTCTGCTGTTTTAGTGTCTATGGTTGAGGTACATCTATCGATGATACATTCTACTTAAAGTTCAAACTGACAAGTCTACTGTAAATAATGTCTGGATTGATGAAATTGCTTCTTAATGTTACCTATCTTGCTATAGTCAACTGGAGCTTACAAGGCAGCATCTCGATTGGCTATTGCAACTCCACCTCCAGCTTACGTATTAAGCCGTGGGATTGGCTGGCAGGTGGGCTGGTTTAATATTACTATTGCTCTCTATTTCTTTTTCTTTCATTCCATTTTTCTGATAAACCAAACAAGTACAAGTAGCTAAGAAAATACATATATGATCAACCAAACAAGCACTTGTAGAGGGAAATCCAGCAAACAGATAACCAACAAACCATCATATAGCTGAAGAAAATCCAACGTAAAATTGGATCAAACCCTCACATTGTGAAACTTGAACCTAGGGCCTTATTGTTTCAGGAGCCTTTCCCTTAGGATTAAGATAAGACCTCATTGGCAATCTATCATAGCATGTACTTATTGACTGTAGCATATTATTTTAGCATTTGAGGGGAAGGATATATGATGAAGATAAAAGAGCCTGTCATTTATATAGCAAGCAAGTATAACTACTTTAATATCTTTTAAAGTCTGTTATTCTATAGCAATTGATTTGATCTTATTTCTGTTTGATATGAATATTTTCTATAGTTGAAACAGAAACAGAAAAGGAAGGATTGAGCTGTTATTATTGAGTTTATCCAGAAAGTTGCCATTTTAAAGATTTTTGTACATTTTAACATCATTTAAGGTTTAAGCAGTCACTGAATGATATAATTAAGAAATAGCTTACATGTAGCGTGAACATAATCTTTCCATGATTGCTTCAAATTATGCTTCAGTGTAAAAAACAACTGATCTGTTTCATCCTCAGCCATGAGCATCATCCTTCTAGCTTCTCACACACTATAGACTATACACAATTTTAAAATTTTCAACTTTGTCATACTATGTACCTTATATTAACTTTAGTAATTTGACATTTCATTCAGTTACCTTTTTTTTTTTTGTCATACTTCATTCAAGTGGATTGAAGAGCTATAAAATTTTCATAATCATTTTGCAGGGGATTGGCATCTTGCTTGATGGTCTATTTGGAACGGGGACTGGTTCTACTGTTTCTGTGTAAGATATCTACAGCAGCTATTGCTGCATGCTGCTAGTGTTGTCTTGACCCCCCATGTTTAAGACATCTTGCTTGTGTTTCAGGGAAAATGTTGGACTCCTCGGGCTAAGCCGAGTTGGAAGTCGCAGAGTTGTTCAGATATCTGCTGCCTTCATGATGTTTTTCTCAACCTTAGGTACTTACACCTTACTTTGGAATCCTAAGGAGCAAGGAACTTGATGCATGCTATGAGAAGCATTTATAATTCTCTTAACCAGTGTCCAGGCATGTGGCTTAGAGTTAGACAAACAGTGTTTTTGACTTACATATAACAATTAAGACCACTTAATTGTGACAGCATCAACAAATTATTGACATATTCTTCCCCGTTTATGGTATTTTGACTCATGTTTTTGCAGGAAAATTTGGAGCTGTATTTGCATCCATACCTTTCCCGATCTTTGCAGCACTATATTGTGTACTGTTTGGCCTTGTGGGTATGTATTACTTTTATCCAAGTTCTTTTTTTTTTTCCATGTTGTTTATGTCCTTAATGACAATTTCCTGATTGCTGTAGCTTCAGTTGGATTATCATTTCTCCAATTCACAAACATGAATTGCATGAGAAACCTCATTATTACAGGGCTATCACTCTTCCTTGGGATTTCCATCCCACAATTCTTTAATGAATATTGGAATCCAACATACCGAGGTCTCGTTCACACCAATGCAGGATGGGTAAGCATTGTAGTCAAACCCATTCCATTAGATTCCTGATAAATTGTAGGCTAGTGTCTTAACGATGCAGGTAAGTGTCCATGCAGTTCAATGCATTGGTGAATACCATATTCTCATCGCCGGCAACAGTTGGTCTGATCGTGGCGGTGTTTCTGGACAATACGATAGAAGTGGAAAAATCGAAGAAAGATAGAGGGATGCCATGGTGGGTCAAGTTCAGAACATTTAGAGGAGACAATAGAAATGAGGAGTTCTACACTTTGCCATTCAACCTCAACAGGTTCTTTCCACCAACCTAGTGGAGTCCCGATAGCAGGCAAAAATCAAAAAGCTAATTTTCTTTGGCTAATCCAATCCCAATTTGGTAGTAGATGCCCTAATCTTTCCTTTTGTTTCCACCACGAATCCAATTTTTTGTGAGCCGTTGTAAAAGGGGCCCAGGGTAGGGTTTTAGAGCATTTAATCTCTGCTTCTTGTAGATGGCAATAATAAAGGAAATCAGTTCATATTGAAATTGAGATCTTCCTTGTCAATGCTAATCACCTTGTTTGCCTCTTGATACTCAAAGTTTTCTGTTTGTTGGGACAAGGAGACAAAAATTTCAATTTAGGGTTTAATTTGATAATGGGAGGAACCCCAGGGGCCAAATCAAAAAACGAAATCAAACTGAATAAATGAAGCCTCAGACAGCCAGTGAAAGTAACATCAAAATTAAAAGTTCAGTCGGTAATTCCAACTATTAATAGAAAACTCTTCATTGGCTTCATCAATCACTTTCCGACTATTAATCGTAAAAGATTACTAAAAGAGTTAAGGAAAAAAATCATTTAAGAATATGTAATCGCCGAAAACGGCTCCGTAGATCACAAGGAGTCAGATCCACCGGTTCCTATCAGCAAGCGAAACATGACATTCCTTTCGATCCGATCGTAGCATCGCCGGTCACTGCTCTTTTCTTGGCTACCGGCGACGTGGCATCGGACCCAACACTCCACAAATAAATAATTAAAATGATTGTTGGAAAACCAAAAGCACACCCTCAGAGACCCGTTTCAAATCACTCACACAGCGTAACACGCTTTGAGGAAGCCCCCGCGTAGATTCCCGGCCAACCATCAATCACCTAAGAACAATAATCAGAGGGCTGAGATTGGCGGACGGGAAAACGGAAAGTTTCCTTTGCGTATTGACGCTGCTGATTAAAGTGTCATACGGCACTTCCTATCCATGGGATTTCTTCCTCATTGGGATTTCGCTCTCAACACTTTTCTTCCTCCTTACAAATTTATTTTACAAAAAAAAAACCCTAAAATTACATGTTTTTCGTTATGAATGAAAGAACTTAGATGCGGATTTTATAGAGTAGCGAAGTAAAAACCCTAGATCTCTCGATTGGAATTCTTTACTGGTTTTGAAGAGGCCGAATGTGGGTTTCGGATTTGTTATAAATAGGCCCAAAATGTTTGGGCCAGATGATACAAACTTCGTAAAACAAAAGTTTAATAAATTAATTAATAATTAATAAGTGATTAATTTAATTGATTAAATTTTTTTTAATAATAAATTATTAAATTTAAATTTTATTATGATCATTTATTTAAATTATTTTATATGTATAATTTATAATTATTTATTTTAAATTATTAAATATGATATATTTTATTTCGATCTAATTTTATTTCACTGGTGTAGACTACATTTAGGCTCCTAGACGTCGACGTCGTTGATCGAACTGGAATGACGTTTTTATCTCAATCAGGCGGCCAAAAAAATGAATCTCCACCGCATTGACCGATGGCCACTATCAAGAATCAAGAAATTAGAAAAAAGTTTTCAAATGTGAAAACTACCTTGTTTTAAATTGCAAAAATTCACAATTTAAAAAAAAATCAAATTTATGGTCTAGACAACTAAAAGTAATTGACAAGCAGCGTACCTTAAGATGTAATAAAAAGAAAGAATAGTATGAAATATAATCATTTGCCCGCATATTTGCTTTAATAATTACTATATATATTGTCAAAAATAATTACTATATATCAATAAATGATTAATTTAATTAATTAAAATTTATCATTTTTATTGATATTAAATTTAAATTTTGTTAATAATTTTTGTTGGGATCATTTTTAATACATATGATTTATAATTACATATATTAAATTATTAAATATGATATATTTTATTTTATTTTAAAAAATTAAATAATTTATCTGTTTCAAATTTTTTTACAATAAAAATCTTTTTTTAAAAAGAAATACTATATATCTTCCTTAAAAAAATCACTGTAAGTCTATTTTTTGAAAAATTATTTTTTCTCAAATAAAAGAAAATACAAACTCACTTATAAACTTGATTGGACTGAGATTGAATGCTTGAAAAAAAAAAAAAAAAAGAGCTTTTTCACTTCTCAAATTAAAATTCGCTCTTTGTTTGTTGCAAATTCCAAACGGAATTAGTAGTAATAATAAATCATTTAAATTCAAATAAGGTGTATGTTTAAAAAATCCTCAACTAGAGGCCGGCCGGACACATCTGGCACTGGCCGTCCCTGCCCATCACCAACTTTCCAGTTATCGAAACTTTTATGGAAGTAATTTCAAATCGGCAGAAAGTGAAAGGAAGTGTTTGGGCGTGAAATGTCGATGGGAAGCGACACGACATGGGTTGGGAAAAAGCCATTTAGGCGAATCGGAGGAATGTCCGATGCACTCTCCATTGCCGCCGATCTTGGTTTCTCCGTTCCCCCTTCCCCTTCTCAGGTTCCCTGTTTTGCTTTGCTGCTCTTTTTTTTTGGATTCATTTTATTCAAATTAATTATTGGTTTTTATGTTCAAACACATCAATCATGCAATTTGAAACTCCCAAATTACGCTATTCTCTTGGGCAGATTGCGATCTTTTATTCTTGTCTTTTATGTTAAGCAATTGCATGATATGTTATCACTGACTGCAGTTTGTGATATGAAGTTGGATTTTTGAAGCTTATACTGAAATTGATTGGCCCTTTTCCCCTTTTGTTCAATTGTCAATTAAGAAAAATTTAACCATCAAAACCCTATGATCTGTTTGTGAGAATTGTAAATGTAGGATCCTGAGCACTAGCTGAAGTTTTTGATTTTCATTTAACTATTTAAGATGTAGGGGTTTAGGCCGTAAACTAAAATGACAGATCAATCACTCATACAAGTCTAGGAAGTTTGAAGATAAGATGTGTTTCCTTGAAACCTAATGTCTCTAAGCATTTTCTCTTTAAATGTATGGAATAAAAAGTTTGTACATTGTCGTCTGTGGAACCATGAGTGTGAAAATCTGTTTGACTGTGTAGATGTTTTGAATAGGTCTCCTGATTTAATTCATTTACTTTTGTTTTTATTTATGAATCTTTCCATAGGCACTTGCTGTCCTTTAGCCTATGAACAAACGTTGAATCTAAAAGTATATGGTAAAGCTAGAAAATCGACGGGACTGATGCCTTGAAACTGTATCAGAGTTAATATTGTTTTGCTTCTGCAGGAAGAAGTGCAAAACTTAAACTCTAGTACAGGGGAAAAGGGGATGATTTGATAAAGGTCCTAAGAGAGCTAACCTCTGTACAAAGAAAAATAGCAGATTTGCAAGTGGAACTACAAGGCCGAAAGGTAAAACTTCCCAGTTTAATTATTCTTTCTCCATCATTTTTGTACTGCATGCAATGTTAACTATGTGACACTTTTAGATAGTATTCAGGGTGTGCAATTGACCAGAAGAACCAAGAAACTAAACCAAACTGTTTTTTTCCCCCAGTTTTGACTTTTTAAATTGGTTGGGTTTTCTATTAAAAATGAAATAGGAGCAGTTCAGTTTCAGTTTTGTTCATGTAAAACATTAAACAAGGAAAACCATGACATGCGTGCACACACAAAGGAAACTTAATTCTTGTATTTTTTAAGGTTATATATATTCAAAAATATTTTATGTAAAACATAGAAGTTTATTTGTTTAACTTAATCTTGCTGATTCAAGCACAGTCTAGGTTCTTTAACTGCAAGTCTGTTATTCTTTGAGTGACTGGTTTTATGCCATTTTTAGGATGATAAAAATGTTGCTCATTTAACACATGTGAGTGAAATGGAAAAGAAGTGTGAGACACTGGCGAGGATTACTACCATATTGAAAGATGTTCTTCAGAATAAGGTAATTTCAAGTTTTCTTATCGTGTACTGTACTGTAGTTTGCTAATGTTGTGTGTGTTTTACACCTCCAGTTGCAAATTTCTCATTGCCACTACTTTCTGCAACAATTCCTCTTTATCTTTAAACTTTGTCAATGGGGTTAGGAGGATGGGTGAGGTTTTGTTTCTATTCCTGTTCTGAGTTTGGTTTATGTTTGTATTTAAAATCTCCCTCTATTCAAACCAAATTTAACTATGAAAATTCTTGTTCTAAATGCTGCTATAAACAATAATATAAGTATGTGTATGCCACTCATTCGGGATCATGGAATTTTCTCTTATTAATATATTGTTTCTGGAATTGAGACCATAATTGACCTATTTATATTGGTATCCTTCTGAGGATTACATCATTGGCTTATTTTTTTTGTCCTAAGAAGTTTGTATACAAAGTCAAAATTTCTCCATATTTAAGCTGGTTGCTAAAAGAAGCTATTGTCTTTGCCCTAACACATTATGTCTTACTTTTCAGGTCACACAACCAAAAGGACTCTTTTTATTTATCTGATTTTTTTTTCCGTTCATTATTTTGGCAGGATAGAATTATAGCTCGTCTGCAACAACCATATTCCCTAGATTGCATTCCAGTGGAAGCAGAATATCAGGTTTGTCATTCTTCAATGGTGTACTTTAACACAAGCACAATAAAATTTCAAAACCTAGGCTCTGTTTGGTAACCATGAAAATGATTTCTGGAAGTTCATTTCTTCATTTTTTGTTGTTTGGATGTCTAAAAAATTTGTGGTCTACCAAGCATGAATGGACCGAGGACTTGTAGGTTATAGAACTACCTGAGATGGTTGAATTATCATTGTTATATGGAATTAATTATTCTTTGCTTTTCCCCTTCTGGTTATCTTTCTTTCCACAATTGTATTTATCTTCTTTGCTGCCTTGAATTGGTGAGCCAATGAATTCCACGTTCAGTTTAAAATGGGAATCAAATTTCCAAATTTTCATATTTTCCACAATTTTACCAACAAATATAATCATTCAATAATTGAATAAATATTACACTTCATGACATTATATCGTATAAATATGAATGCTTGTGTGAAATTTGTTTAGATTATGTGGAAAGATTAACGGGGGGTTGGATTAACTGGTATAATTGTTTTGGATCTGCACAGGTTTTGATATCCTCAATTTGCAGAACCTTGTATTATCAGAATTGAGATCAACTAAAATTTTAAGTTTATAGTTTGCTGAAAGATGGAAGAAGACAGGAGTTTTTTAAAAATCAAATATATAAATTCAAAATTTTAAAGAATGAAATTAAAAATTGCAAACATAAATATTTAAAAAATCATTTCAAAGTAGGTGTGCCACATTTTTTAATGCGAGTTTTAGTACTTGAATATTCTTCCATACAAAAATTAAACTGAAGACAATAAGTAATTTTTTATGCTTGAAGCTTGAAGGTGGCTGGGTGTTTTAGTTCCATAGGGAAAACAGAAACATTTTACTAATTATATTGCTAATGGTATTGTTAATTGGATTTCCGCAGAAACAATTTTCTGAACTATTGGTGAAGGCTGCAAGTGATTATGG